GCATTAACGCCCACTTGACTAGGCGACCGGATGATGAAGCAGTTCAGAGGACTGGCCCGATCGACTGATCGGTTAACACGCGAATTGCTCGACCCTGGAAGTAGGGAGCCAGCTTCTTCGCGGCAATGTACAAGGCATAGACGACCTTCTCCAACCGGGAGTACCGGAGCTCGGGTCCATGTAGCGCGTGGCTTACATAGTACACTGGTCGCTGGACCCCTTCCGGATCGGTTCGGCACAATACTGCGCTTACTGCACGATCGGACACGGCGAGGTCTAGCTCTTCCCCGAGCTCGGGCTTTGAGAGCACGATTGGTGACATGAGATACTCCTTTAGCTCATCAAAAACTGCTCGGCATTCTTCGTCCCAGACGAATTCATTTACTTTACGCAATACCTTGAAGAAAGGTAAAGCGCGCTCGGCTAACTTAGAGAGGAACCGGCTGAGAGCTGCCAACCGACCGGTCAATTGCTGGAGCCTCCCGAACGGTAGAAGGTGGTTGCATGTCCAAAATCGCTTTCACTTTGGCCGGGTTGGGCTCGATTCCCCTCTTGGTCATATGTAGCCGAGGAACTTCCCGGTCTGAACCGCAAATGTGCACTTGGTCGGGTTCAGCCGCAACTGGTACTTCCTCATGATTTAGAAGCACTCCCGGAGGTCCCGAGTGTGGTCGGATCGGTCCCGACTCTTGACCAACATATCATCAATGTAAGCCTCCATCGTTCGGCCTAGCAGATCGGCGAAGAGCATATTGACCATCCTCTGGTAGGTCGCTCCTGCGTTACGGAGGCCGAACGGCATCACTCGGTAGCAATACAGCCCGTCCGGGGTTACGAAGGCTGTTTTGCTCTCATCTTCATGGTGCATCATTATTTGATGATAACCTTTGAACGCATCCATGAAGCTCATCAACTCGGCCCCGGCCGTCTCGTCGACCATCTGATGGATACTTGGCAGAGGATACGGGTCGAGCGGACAGGCCTTATTGAGGTCGGTGAAATCAATGCACATCCTCCAAGCTGGGGGCTTAGGAACAAGAACAATATTGGCCACCCACTAGGGATAAATTACGGGTCGGATGTGCTCGATCGCCGCCATCTTCTTGACTTCTTCCCTGACAAACTCGCGGCGATCGGAGGAAAGGTGCCGGGTCTTCTGCACGACCGGCTTTGCTGCGGGATCGACGGCTAGCTTGTGACAAATTACCGATCGATCGATCCCGGGCATATCTTCAGGCCCCCATGCAAAGATATCGGCATACTCCCGGAGTATGACCAAGATTTCCGTTCGAAACTCGGGGGTGAGGGCCCGGCAATTTTAATCTTCCTGTCCGGTCGGTCCTTGGACAGGGGAACTTCCTCTATTTCTTCGGAAGGTTCGGGTTGTTCCTTCTGGTCCTTAGCCTCTTCCTTGGCTATAGTGTTCACCCGGGAAGACTGACCGGAGTCACGTCTATTGACCGCTCGGGTGTAACACTTCCGGGCGGATTGAACGTCGCCACGGACTACACCGACCCCATTAGGGGTGGAGAATTTCATGCAAAGGTGCGGCATCAAAATTATCCCACCGATCTTCATGATTGCAGGTCGGCCCAAGATAAAGTTGTGGACGCAATGGAGGTTGACCACAACGAACTCTAGCTCCGCCTTGATCGACTTCGGGGATGTGCCGATCTCAACCGGGAGCATTATCTTCCCTTCGGGGTAAATGAGCGCCCCGGTAAATCCCGACAGTGGTACACCGACCGGAGTCAGCTCCTTCCTGTCAAGTCTAAGTTTCTCAAATACGTTCAAATAAAGGACGTTCACACTGCTACCAGTGTCCACCATAACCCTCTAGACATCCGTCCCTTTCACATCAATCGTGACCACTAGCGCCTCCATGCCATGGTCACCGCTGCTGGGTTGATCTTCGAGGGTGAAGGTTATGGGCTCCATCTTCTGCCTTTTCCCGGTATCCCGGGAATCTACAACGGCGACCGGGCAATTGCCCCTCGACCGGGAAGCATCATCCAGTCCACCAAAGATGACGTGGATGGTCGGCTTTCCTGCTGGTCGGCTGCTAGACGGAGGGTCAGGGTCCCGTCGGTCATCACGATGATCGTCTCTTCGGTCCTGACCTGACCGATCGGAGCGTCCATCACGATCGGAGCGATTGGAGCGGTGATGGGAACGCCGGTGATCTCTCCAATCGGTATTCCTCTTAGTATCTTCTCTCTTCCCCACACACTTGTCCAACTTCCCAAGATTGAGCAAGTCCTCCAAGAGTTGGCGCAAGTGGGTACACTCCTCAGTGTCATGCCCGGCACATCGATGGTAAGCGCAGTGCTTACTCTTGTCGGGGCCGTCTCGATCGGGATGGGGGAGTTTGATGAGATTGCAGGACTGAGCGTACTGCATGGCCTCCGCTGCGGATCGGTTCAAGGCCGTAAACTCACCAAGCCTGGTGCGGGATCGGGGATGGTCATCACCCGATCGGTGTTCCGCTCGGCCGGCCGGTTTACGGGACGAAGACCCGACCTCCTGCGAGCGCTTTACGGCATTCGCCTCGCCGGCGTTCGCATAATCCGTGACCCTTCGAAGGGCCTCCTTATACGTGGCCGGGGGGTGGAGAATGAAGTCTTGATACAAATAACCCGCCCGGAGGGAGATGTGTAGCATGTGGGTGGCGGTCGCATCATCCATAGACTCGACTTCCCCGACCGCCGCCTTCCACTTGACGAGGAAATCGGTCAAGCTTTCTCCTTCAAGCTGCTTGGCCTTCTCCAAGTACATGAAGGGCTTCCTCACCACCTTGGAGGTGATGAATTTCCTCACGAACTTGATCGCCAAGGCGTCAAAATTTGCAATTGAGCCCGGCTGCAAAGTTCGGAACCATTCCGCCGCCCGACCGGTGAGGGTGGAATAAAAAGCCCTACACATCACGGCGTCTGATACGCCCTTCAGCATCATGTTGCCGTAGAAATCATTAACATGGACCTCAGGGTCCGTACGGCCATCGTAACTTTTCTCCCCGAAGACCTTCAAATCGAGCGGGTAGGGCTGCGCCATTACCTCGGCCGTGAAAGGCGTCCGGAGCAAGGATGATTGGTCGACCGGGGGTGTTGCAGGGTGCGCGTTTCTGAATTGCGCAAACTCCGCCTGGAGGTTATAGAGCAATCCTCGGGTCTCGTTGAGCTCGGCGGCTTGGGCAGCTTGGGCTGCGTCCCGAGCGCGTCGTTGTCGATGAGATCTTGACCCGCTATGCCCGGATGAAGCCTCCTGGCTGGCTTCTTGCATCTGTACGTCTTCTGGCTGGCGGTTCGGGTCTTGGGGCCCCAAACGTTGCCGCATCTCCGGTGGAAGACGATCAAAAGCTACCGCTCGGGCAACTTCTTCGGGGTCCTCCGCTCGAGCAGGAACCTCCGCTGCTTGCTGGGCCTGCCGTGGTGCCTCCATCGCATCAGCACCCCCCGACCCCAACCGCGAACGAGCCGAGCGTCGAGCCCGGGAAGCGGGCTGATGCTGTGGCTCTACTTGTGCGGCCGGGTAAACTGGAGGGGCGGCGGCTGGAGTCGTGTACGCAGGCGTGTAAGGTGGATAACCAACCGGGGGCGTGTAGTACATCGGTTGGCCTGGCCAATACCCGTACGGTTGAGGTGGGACCGGGTATGGATACTGGCCGGGATACATCATTGGCTGCTGCTGATATTGTTGACTGGGTGTTGGGTACCCCGGCTGGATGTAGTTCACCGGCTGTTGGGCGGCCGGGTATGTGTTGGATGGATGTGGTGGTGAAAGGTTGAGGTTGAGGTCCATCGTCTGACCTTGTTGTTGTGTTGCCTGGTGGTCGGATGAGCTCGCTGCATCCGCCTGGTCATCAGCAAAGAGGTTTTGTGCCCATAGATACATTGTTGATGAGAGATCGGGTGCTCGTCAAGACGTTTGCTTTCTCGCACGGGTCCCCACAGACGGCGCCAAAATGATACTGCTAATTGCCACGTACGCAGTAATAAGTAAATACGAGACCAATTAAAGCAAGTAAATGTCTTTTATTAATCACGGTGAAGGCCCTAAGTACAATCTACTTGGTTGCTCTGAGTACCGACTGACTGCGGTCGGGATTCTCTAATAACAACCTATCGATCGTCCAAAAGTCCCCCACACTGTAGCTATCGCGGGTATTTATAGCCGCGGAGCCGGAGACACAAATCCGGCCGTTCGGCATGCTTCCCACGTAGCCACCACGTGTCGCCGTCCCGGGCGCCCTGCCTGTCAACGCGTGGAGCCACCACGTGTCCCTCGTCAGCTCTCTCACCAAAGGGCTATCGCTCGGTGGTTGACATTGCCGCTCGAGCAACTCCCGGTCGGACCTCGACCGGATTCTTCACAAGAAGCCCGACCTGCTACCTGCAAAGACAAGAAGACAAAGACACACCAACCGGGGTAAAATTATGCCGGTCGGGATATTCCCTACCAAGTATGATGGGGTTTGAACCTAAGACATTTTCTATTGAAATCATATAATTAAAGATAACTTTGGAAATTTTAAAGGAAAAATTAAAATTTGAACCATTTATTTGATTTAAAAATTTGACAGACATTTTTTCAATTTAGGCCTAACTTCTTTTAACTCTTATTAGTATATATATATATATATATATATATATATATATATATATATATATATATATATATATATATATATTGGTTCCTGTGAGGTCAGGTCTTTCCGTGCGGTCAGTGCGGCATACACCATTAGGTATGCATAAATGCACCATACAGTGTTCGAAAATACATCAGAATGAAATGCCAAAAAATACACCACAAAGAAAAATACACCACACATAATGGTGTTTTTACGAACACCGGGTGGTGCATTTATGCCTACCTAATGGTGTATGCGGCACTGACCGCACGGGAAAAGCTGACCTCACAGAAACCTGACCCTATATATATATATATATATATATATATATATATATATAAGAGAATTTGTTACGAGTTGAGATAGACATGTGGTAACATTCACCTGCCTTGATCCGTGAATCTGACTTAAGGAATACCAAAGCTCAATTGGCGTTATATATGCCTTCTTTGCTTTGCTGCCTTGGTGGAGTGGAATGCTTGTCAACTACTCCTTTACCCCTTTACCTTCCCACTCCCTCTCCATCTCCTCTGCTCAAAGCTTATGCTAGAAAAGCTAAGAATCTAGAGAGAGAGAGAGAGAGGTGTTTGATCTTTGAGTGTATGTATATGGAGAAATTCAAGTGCAAGCTGTGTTTGAAGCAGTTCATGAATGGGAAAGCTCTGGGTGGGCACATGAGGTCGCATTTGGCGGTGCTGCCGCTGCCGCCGAAGACGCCGCCGCAGAAGCAGCAGGATTCCATGGACGGCGGCGGGCGGAGCGAGTCGACCCTGTCGGAGGAAGGGGGGTTGAGGGGGAATCCGAGGAAGAGCGTAAGGTTGGTAGATCGTGATCCTGAGTTTCTGGATAGGGAGAGCGAGAGCGAGTCGACTCGGAATCCTACTCGGAGAAGATCCAAGCGAGGCCGGAGGGTGTTTTTGGGAGAAGCGGAGGAGGAAGAGAAGGGCAAAGCGAAGGTGACCGAGTCGTCGGAATCGGCGGTGCTGAGTTCGTTCTCCGACGAGGAGGAGATCGCGAGGTGTCTGATGACGCTGTCGCAGGATGTGTGGTCGAAAAGTGGAGGCGAGAAGTTCCAATGCGAGATTTGTTGCAGAAACTTCAAGTCCTCACAAGCTCTGGGCAGTCACAGAACAATCCACAACAGAGGTGAAATCGAACAGAAACCAAGAAATCCCGCCGCCGCCGCCGCCGCTGCCGCCGGCAAAATGCATGAATGCCCATTTTGCGGCAAGCTCTTCGTGTCGGGTCAAGCCTTGGGAGGCCACAAAAGATCACACATCGTCCACTCCCCCGCTTCCACTTCAAAGCTCATCATAGATCTCAACTTACCAGCTCCAATGGAGGATGACGATGAACCAGAAGCAGAGGTATCTGCAGTTTCAGATGCAGAGCCAGTGCCCAGTCATGAGGGTAGATAAGTAAAACAACAACCCATATTTTGGATATTTTATTTTATTTTTTTTTTATAAAAAATTGAAGTAGTTAGGTTCTTTGATTTTTGCAATCTTGTGAAATTGTAGTTTCTATTAATAGGGAGGAGAAAATTATTGAAATTTGAATCCCTTTCTCTGTTTGTGGTAGTTGTAAGTTGTTAACACACACTTTTCTTCAACTTGGTTTTTTCACAACCAAATATCATCACATCGGTTGCATAACCAAACAAAATGGTACAGTTCGCCAGCGTGGTCAGTCCCGCAGAGTAATTCCACTCCTACTATTATAATATAATAATAATAATTCCCTTCTCAATTACTCATATAAATATATATATATATATATATATATATATATATATATATATATATATGATTATACCCGATCCACATTGTAAATATTTTCTTCCTCAATATGCATTACTCAAATTCACCGTTCAATTACACAACTAAAGTATCAGTCAAAATAGAAGTTTTGTAATCTCTTAATCATGAGTTCGATCACTTCCTCTAAAGTATTGAATAATTGAAATTTGTCTTACAATTTGTGGATCTTTCGTACTAATTGAATTTTATCTTACTATATATCTATGGTCTTTAATCTTTTGTACTAATGACCGCTCGCATATAAGAGCATTCCCAATTATTTGAGTTTTTTTGTTCAACTTTTTTTCAGTCCAATAAGAAAAAAGGATGAGGAGAAAGAATAAGGAAAAAAAAATTAGATTTTCAAATCATTTAGGTTTTTGCTAGGGTGGTTGTCATTTGACAGCCACCTTAACAGGCCCAGCAGGCGCGTGTAGTGCACTGTGCACATGCCCGCTAGGCACTATCAGTGTCCAAGACATGCACTAGCTCATTATAAATGTTTTTTTCAATATATGATGGGGCTCAAAAAAATCATTTTTTTTCTGCGAGCATCTCTCATCCTTTCTCGCTCCATCAATTAAGCAAAAACTTGACAAATATTCAGCAAAAACTCATATTGAAGATTCTTTAAGCCCTAAAGTTGTATTTCGGATTACACTTACACATAGTAATAACTAATAAGTGATTCTACCAGGACTATGTGGTCTAATGGTACACGGGTTGGACTTCCATTTGGAAGGTTGTGAGTTTGAGCCCTAATGGAGGCGTTATTAGCTCTTTGTGTTTCAGTAGGTTGAGAAAGTATATGAACACATACTACATCAGTAGGTTGAGAAAGTATATGAACACATACTACATTGTAATAGAGCTAATAGCATTCAAAAAAAAAAAGTGATTCCGTGTATTCCTAATTTGTGGTTGCGTGTATCAAAATGACTTCAATTTTGACAATAAAATACTTATTCTATATACATTGGATAATAACAGGTAAGATATTCAACTTGTACTCGTTTTAAAATTGACTTTAAAATACCGAAATTCTATATATAATCGGGCAAGACATACAAATTTAAATTACAAAATTACCACTTAGACTTTTCAAAATCTACGTCTCACTCGGGGGCTAAGGCGGGGTGCGGAGGTGTGTTGCGAGACCACCGTGGGGATTGGATGTGTGGCTTTACGTGTAATATTGGTTCTTGCCCAGCAGATATAGCAGAAAGATGGGCGGTGCTGCATGGACTTCGAATGGCAGCGGACTGGGGTGTTGATAAGCTCATCGCGGAAAGTGACTCGGCGAACACAATCAAAGGGCTCTCCAGGGGCACCGGGGAGAGTGCGTCGGGGTGCAACATCAGCCATCTTTGTGTTCGGGAGCAGAGGAAGTTCCAAGCTTTGGAGTTTAGGCATGTTTTACGTGAGCAAAACAGAGTAGTGGATCGGCTTGCCTCGGCTACCCTCATGTATGATCTGGGGACGCATCATCTGGGGAGTATGCCACGTTTGATCGAAGATGTTATGTGGGAGGACAAGGCTGAGGCCATAATGTATCGTGGCGATTAGTTGTCTTCTTGCCTTCCATCCGGGCTTAAGCCCTCTCTTTGTTTCCAAAAAAAAAAAAAAAAAAAAAAAAAAAAATCTACGTCCCACATTTTAATCTCTCACAAAAAATTTTGATATATAGACATCTGTATTGAAACTTACAGAATAAAAATAACATATTATTCGTATTAATTATCATATTAGATTGTAAATATAAAAGAGTAGAGTTAGAGTTCATATGATAAAACTCTTTAAAATAAGCGGGAATCTTTAAGTTATTCAAGTAAAGCTATAGTGGAAAGAGGGACTGAGAAAGGGATTCTCTTGTGCAGTTATAGCTGGTAGTACCTTGGCTCCAGTATGTGTTGTCAGTACATGTCACATTCCTGGTTCCAGCTGTCTTATTAGGAATCCTTTTTATTTTATTTTTTATTTAAAAAAAAAATTGTATGCTTGCAGTATAAAATACTCAAAGAAATCCTCAAGCTTTAAGGGGTTTTGTTTTAATTGAAAAATTTTCTCTCTCATCATTGGCTTTATGGATTTGTCTGCTTGGGGTTCAGCAGCAGCAGTTGGATCTTCTCTTCTCCTCCCTTTTTCTATGACATTTCTGGGCCTGACCCTCAGAATCTTCTGCTCAATTACCAATTTGACCTTACCTTTCTATCCAATATTTTCTTTTTTTTTTTTAATTAATAAATCAAAATTGTGGAATTTACTATATACGGAGTATTTGTTTTGCAATTTAACAAATTAATTTTTGTTCACAAATGATTCAAGTTTTATAACTCCACCAAAAACCAAGTTCATAAATAATGCAAAACCCACTTACCAAAATACCCTTGCATAACTCTTTTCTATACTACAGATTTTATACGGGGAACGATTGATTTAATACTCAATATTTATATTTAAATTAGTTTTTTACGCGCATTGCGCGATTGAGATATGCCCAATGTTTTTTTTTTTTTTTTTAAATAAGTACTTTAAAGTATATCAAGGCAAGATTATATTGAAATTATTTATGCATAGATAATTGAATGTTAAATTTGCGTATTTAAATAGGCAATTCTAAGTTTACAAATGCAAGATAATATAGTCAAGATTAATTATAATTGTCAATAAAATAATTGTATAGGTATGATTGAAACCAAATACGGGACATAAGGGAGAGCAAATAAAAATTAGGGCATAAAATATTAAATATATACTAATATTGAAGAGCTAACTGGTGATTGTCAAATAAGGACATTGCGAGATAATTTTCCACTTCAGTTTGTTGTGTGACTTGAATACTCTTTTTGTCAATAAATCCCCCAAGTAGTTAATATGATTGGCTTAATTATATATTTTTATTATTTTTTTATTTTTTAAAAACAACAACAACAACAACAACAACAACAACAACAACAATAATAATAATAATAATAATAATAATAATAATAATAATAATAATAATAATAATAATTAATAGTGCACAAAAAAAGATAATACACAATGTAGTGAATATAACCAATTGATGATTTTTTTTTTTTTGAGTATTACTGGCCCTATTACATTGTAGTATTTGTTCATATACTTTCTAAATCTATTAAAACACAAAGAACCAATAACACCTCCACAAAGGCTCGAACTCGTAACCTTCCAAATGAAAGTCCAACCCAAATACCATTAAACCAAATAGTCTTAGTACCAATCAATGAATTTGAATGTAAAGAATTTTTACATTTGAGAAATATAAAGACAATATAACTAATAACATTATTTCTCTTAATTAATTTATTGATAATGAATAAATTTTTTTAATAAAGACATTGGAGGGACAATGTAGCGAATATAATCAATTAATGAATTTTAATGTAAATAATTTTTATATTGGAGAAAAATAAATACAATATAACTAATGAAATTATTTCTCTTATTTAATTTATTGATAATGAATAATTTTTTTTGAATAAAGACATTGTAGACACATAATTCTAAATTAAAGAAATGCATATGTATTTTTTTTTTTTGTTGTAGCTAATACTAAATTATTATTTTTAATTTAATAAGAGTAAAATAGAGTACTAATTATGCCAACTTTGATTGGGGTGGGGTTCGAACCTAAGACCTTTCTTATTGAAATACATGTGAGTAAATTAACGGTGAACTAATAGAAATTAACGGAAAAGATAATATTTAACGGAAAAGTTAACAGATAATCATATTCATTAAGGAAAAATTAGGAAATCTTAAGGAAAAATTAAAATCTGATCAATCTGAGCCATTCATTTGATTAAAAAATTTGACCGTCATTTTTTCTACCCATTATAGGTCTAACTCTCTTGGGCTCTTATTAGTATAGTAGATAAGTAATTTAAAATATATCAATACAAGATTATATATGAGAAAAAAATTAATATTTATTTGCAATTTTTTTAAAAATAATTATCTAAATACTTATTGTAGTTGGTATGGTATTAGTTAGTAGATAATACTTTTGGTTGAAATTACTCTAAATTTTGTTCATTCGCTTTTGGATAGATTTGTTATTGTCTTCGTTTTCATCTTCATCTTCATTGATTCTTCGCTTCTTTGTTGTTGGTAGTGTCTCATGTGCAATTGGGTTACACGTGCTAGTTTACAAAAAGAACAAATTTGATATGGCCCTGTTTGGTAAATGATTGTTAGCTGATAGCTGTTTGATGTTAGCTGATTGGGTCAATTAGAGGGTATAACTAATTTAAAACATTAGCTGATTGTAGAAAGATGTTTGGTAAATTAGTTGTAAGTTGATAGCTGTTTGGTATAATTTCTTTTCTCAAAAAGCTAATTGAAAAAGATACATTGAGCAACTTTTAAAATTTTAGCATTTTGGAGTTACAAAATGCTAATTAGCCAAACACTTACGATCTGTTTGGTAGGACTTATTTAGGAGCTTATAGCTTATTTTAAGCTACTAATAAACTATAAGCTCTGTGGTAATGTTCCCAAAATAAGCTCATAGCTTAAAATAGAAGCTTATTTTGGAACGCAAGGTAGCGTTTTAAAATAAGTTCCTAGCTTCCTAACTTTTTTTCCATCTTTATCCTTATTATTTTAAAGAAATGACATAATTTACCCTTCCCAATTAAAACTCTTTTCTCTTCTCCTTTATCCGCAACTTTCACCACAAATATTATTATTATTATTATTATTATTATTATTATTATTATTATTATTATTATTATTATTATTATTATTATTATTATTATTATTATTATTATTATTATGAGATTTGCAACAA